CTGGATTGATGTTGATCGCGTGACCCGTTTGGGTACGACTGTCGGGGCGGGCCTCTCGGGTTTTTTGAGCGAGACTTTGATGTTTTGGAGATTGTCAAGTCCTTCTTCGACCGCTCCAACATCTTTGCAGCTTTGAGTTTATCTTCCAGACTGTTTCCAAACAGCCATTCATCGATAGTAGTCTCCTTTAAGGCCTCTCTGACTGTTGCATTGATTTTTGCGAAAATCAGAGATTTTCTAGTTAGAGCTTTGTCTCTTTGCAAATCAACTAAAATTCTACAGCTATCACTTAGAACATTGATAAATTTTAATCGGTCTATTTCTTCTTTGTTTAGAAGTACTGATAAAAGCGAACCTAACGCTGCCAAATATACTGAAACTTTCTCCTGCTTCAAAATTAAGCGGTTGTCTCTGTTAACGATTGGCGCTTGAAGAGACGCTTTAATTTCGGGATTTAATTTTGGTGCTTCTATAAATTTGCAGTTATCTGCATGCGCGTACTTGTAGAAGTACTCGTCACGTTCCTTCTTTGGTAGACCACTTTCATAAATCTCCTTCCATCTTACTTCGATGTCAGAATGCAACGACGATGGGCGGATCTTATCCGGTTTCAGTCTTTTGCCAATAACCTCTAATACTTCCGCGTCCAATTCTTTGTTGAGCTCTGCTTTACCATCAGCGGGTAAGATGTCGCTGTCTGGTGTCGACTCTGTTTGTTTGGCTGAGTCGAGCATTTTAGCGGCAACAGATCCATTTGCGTCTTTCTGCTTGAGCACTTCTGACTCTGATTGAGAAGGAGAGCGATCTTGCCAATTTGATTGTATTGAGTCTATCGAGCATGATCTTTCACTCCTGCCCTTGGCGTTAGGAGGCTTATGTTCTCGTTCTCGTGAGCCTGATTTAAGCGCTCTTTCACGTGAGTGAGATTTTGCGCGCCTGCGTTTTCCATGTGGTGACTTGTCAGCACGATTCCTGGAACACGACTTGCCTCTGTCGTCTCTCGTCCTAGCTCGGTCTCTCGAGCGCTTTGCTCGCCTGTTATGTTGAGGTGACAATGATGGCGACCTGTCTCTGCTACTGGTCGTTGAGCTTGAAGAATGCGATGGATAACCTGCACAATAAAAAAAGGCCTCATCAGGTCCTGCCCTACAATAGGAGATTTTTCAGGTTAGGTTTATCTGCAGTCCTTGACTGCTGAAACGCTGAAACTCAGGCCGAGCTAGAGTTGCTTGGTATAATGGCATCTGTCGTACGAAACGGCCCTTGGCTTTTAAGCGTGAGCCGAACTCACGCTTGATTCGAGACGCACAGTGCTAAATACCTTTTATTTGCTCGCTGGCCGAACCTTTGAGCTATGTAAAAGACAATTTTTTACATCGATGCAAGATAGCCTAACTAATTTGCGTTTGGATGTCTCAATTGAGACAATGAGATGACTCGCGCTGCAATAGCGCTGTAACAAAAAGAAAAAGATGGAGAAAAAGGATTAGTGTACTCACGTCGTTTGCGATTTTCCGCCTTTTCCAATCTTTTCTCGAGACGTTTGAGTTTCCTCCTGATTTCGTCCTGGCTTTCGTCATCTGAAGATGAATAACGGCGTCTTTTCCGGCCCATGATGCAGTTGTAAAAATTCGCACTGATTTTGGGGATGTGGTAACACCGGCACAAAATGGAAGAAATGGAAGAAATGAGACTCGATTGCGGTGCCGCGCGCAGCCGTGGTCGCGCTATGGCAGCGCCGTAAGGGGATACGCGGACGGGCACACACAGCAGCATTTTATACTTCAAAAAATTGTGGTATCATTGGCATGGAGTGGGGGCACTATATTGTGATCTCGAGGAAGAGGCTCAAATATAATTTAATCATTTGTTCTACATTATCAAACGTTTTTTCTTGCACACTTTTAAGAACCTCACCGCTTAGTTTGATTTTAATTAACTTAGTGAGATCATTTTTATTGATTGTCGGGACTATGCTGCGTGCCTCTCGACAGCCGTCGATAAATAAGTGTAAAGGTATGTTAAATCCATCGAATTTAGGTACGAAGTTAACAGCGGCTTTCAAGCTAAAATTTTTTATTGTCGATACTATGTTTTGTGTGGAATTCATTAGTCCTGTTCTGAAAGTTCCCGGCGTATAATACGTAGTAAATGGGCTGCTTGCAAAATTAGTTTTGTTTGTAGTGGCAATATGTCGAGTTGGAGTGAAATAAACTTTTTCCTATTTATTATGAGCCATTTCTGGTGATTTTGAAGCGTATGGTGTATTAGTTATAGACACTTTTTTAGTGGACGCGTTATACGTGTCTGAATTTTCATTTGCTGTCTCGTAACCTGTTTGATTTTCAATGAGCCCAAGTAATGAAATTTCAGTTTTATCTAATTTTAATTTTTCGAAGTTTATATCCATAATAGCGTTAAGAAGGAATGCTGGATTTAAATTTTTACTAGTCATTTCAATGAGAATGTCGAATATTAGGTCATCTTTACATAGAAAGTCTGATGGGTTTGTATCAATGTAGTCTTGTAAATTATATTTTAATCTTTGTAATTCCTTAACTCGGGTAATTTGCTTTGTTTCACGGTGGGTGGATGTCTTTGATGCATATACGCGAGACATTCTATAAGCGTAGGTTGCCTGTTTGTCGCAAAGTTTGGTTTTATTTCGCTAATTTTTTTAATTAGTATTTTGAGTGTAATTAGTTTTCGTTCGTAAGGTGTTTCGACCATTGTAATTTTTTTGCGATAAGATCCTAATTACCAAGAACGATGGGCCCCTAATTGTTATGTCTAAGCGAGGAGATATTACGGCTAGACGGAATAATGTTTAAAATACTGTAGCGTCAGTAAAAGTTGGATCTTAGTCAGGAGTTAAGCAGAGGTCGGTTAAAGGGATAGCGCCTTTATTATATGTAGCGTGTTTAGGTAGATAACTTAGTTTCTTACCTTGTTAGGATTGGATTTCAGAAGAGGTTTTTATAAACAGTCTCAGGTGTTTGCGCTTGATTTAAGATTTATTGTTTAAAAACAATTTTATAATGCTTAGCAGGGTATAATTCCGGTTCTGAGTAGCCGGATAGCGAGACTTAGAAATAACTAAATCAGTATAAGTACGAGTACTAGGGTATGAGTGCTAATATAAGCGCTAATGTAAACTTTAATATGAACTGCGCGAACTGTGTATTGTGTGAACTGAACTGCCTTTCGCGGATCCCGATCCAGCCTTTTTATACCATAGACTGATGTGCCCCTTCCTGTGTTTTCGCCGAATTAATATGCGGTGAGTAATATTCGCGGAAATATTATGGAAAATGTGCTTAGTCTAATCTATCCCGCCAGATAGATTTATAAACGTTCCCGGGAAGGTTAATACGATAGGAAATTAAATTACCGTTACCCGGTTAGTTACCATAACCCGTTGTCTGACATTTACTTATCATAGTTCGTCACGTACGTTTTCTTTGTATCGACGTGACACTTCTTATTTTTGACTCTTGAATCGATTGGGCTTATAGTTTATCAATTTTGCAATTCGATTTTTTATTTGTTTAAATAATTATTGTTAAACAATGAATTTTGAAACACAAAAAAATAAGGGTATTTTTTTTCAAAAAAGTAGGTGATCCAATAATTAGTTTTACTGTTAGGCTGCTGGTTTGAGAATGAGTTTTAATAGATTAATTATCGATGACTGGTACGGTATTTAGTAATTTTAATCAATTTTACAGAATACGATTAAAAATTGTTCAATTATTCAATCATATATAATGAACTGTTTGTTTGCTGAAAATATCGTTAAATTTAAAATTAATAATGTGTATGTGTGTGTGTGTGTGTGTGAATCTTTTTTTCATTTATATTTTTTTCTTGTTAAAATCAAATTCATTGATATAATTTTTAGGAAAAAGTCGATTATTGAGTTCAAAATTTGTACGAGTTTGATACAAATATTGCACAAGTTTGTATAAATTTTGTGTATTTATTTTCAGTGAACACGAAAAAATCGATGACCAAGGTTAGCTTTACCACATATAATTAAATAAAGCGATCGATTCACTGAATAATAGATCACGATGAACAATTCACAGAATAATAAAGTACAGTGAACAATTTACTGAATAATAAAGCACAGTGAACAGGACATGTCAAGAAAACAAAAGAATATAAAACGTTAGAGTAACAAACCAATTATATTAATAAATAAACAAGATATAAGTTTTGACGATTGCGAGAAAACGTAACAACTGTAACCAAGCTTGAATCTTTTAATTGAACTAGAAACGTTAACCGTTTTTAGTTCAATTAAAAGATAAATTTAGCGGAAATAACCATTTAACGAAAGAAGCATGTATCCATCAGTGAAAAAATTCTCTGTACAAATATACATTAACATCTTATTACAAATTCAATTATAATAGTATAGTCATATAGAATTCAAGTAGTATGGGAATATAAAATATAATTAGGATTGTAAAAGCTTCAAATTTATATATATATATATATATATATTTAAATGTATGTATGTATGTATGTATGTATGTATGTATGTATATATATATATATATATATATATATATATAACTTATTTATCGTAATTAATTAAATGATGTTATTGTTATAAACACATTAATAATTAATCTCAGATAAAAGTAAAAACGCATTTAATACTCATGATGCTTGCATCAAGTTTAGTAAAGTTAAATCTTATAATTAACAAGTTGGTATAAATATAAATACAAGTAAAATAGACAACTACCAATTTTATTCCTTAGCCATGTACTAATATAACTAGAATAATATATGAGAATTATTTTATTTATATGCAATTATTTGATGGTTGTATAAAGATGCACTCATTTATTAATAATTGAAAGGAAAAATTACAGCCTAAAATAAAAATTTCTTAAAAATCATTAATTCAAAGTTTGTTCCTTGAAAAAGTAAGTACAATCATTTTGTGGATCACGCGTGCGCACTGAGTATATTTGGTTCTTCTCATAGTTCAATAATCATCTACACTATACTATACTAAAATATTGCTATTTGTTTGCTAATTGAATACAAATGATATCTCAATTCTTTATTCATAATTTTGTGACAGGTAGAAAAAAATTTAGATTTTTAAAGTAAGTCTATCATATAAGTTAGTTATATAGCTTCATCAGCTGTATTATATTAATAGATTGTTACTTTCGTAGGTTAATGTGTAATAGCAATTAAACCGAAGAAACTCAATCATTATAAATAATATGAAAAATTTTAATACCAGTGAAGTGAAGACTATTTTTCCTTCGGAAAATTGTCAAATCAAATCCTCAACATATGAAGAAGAACCAAATAATGACATCCTCGAAAATACAAAAAAAAAAAATGATAATTCAGGTATAATATTTTTTGTAAGGAAAATACAATAATTTATTGTAATAAAGAAAATTTATTGTGCATATTTAAACATGTTTTATAAAAATTACATTTAGACTCAAAAGTTAAATAACCTATAACAAATGACTTAATAATAACTTTTCCTAACTTTCGTTAAAAATAGTTCATTGAATGTCATTGAATTTGAATATAATTAAACATAATCAATGAATTCAGTAAACAAATGTGTCAGTGTAAAAAGAAATCCGCCTGTTATTAATGCAATTAAAATTTAACGTAACGGTGTTTAATAATCGGAGAAAGTATAGTAAAGAGAGTAAGTAAGATAGAAGCAGTTGTATTTGTTGAGATTGTGAATAATGTAGGTCTTATTTTTTATTCTTGATATGCAAAACTGTATAGACTATGAACAGTTTTACGATAGTTGGCAAAAAACTTCTTACGTATATGCCATATCTCAGCAACGCGAAAACTACATTTTTCTTGCAGATTTAAAGATTTCATAGATAGCTGATTGTTGTACAAATCTTATAGATATTTGACTAAATTATACACTTGATATACAAACCACCTATCTGCTGCAGCATTGAAAATGGTGGGTTCTCTATAGCTGTTGTAGTAGGATAGTAGTTATCGTAACTATACACTTTACGAAAAGAAACCAACAGCAAACGGTTTATGATGGTGATAAACATTTCCATTCCTAGTGACAGGTTCCAATAAGCTTATCACGTCAGTTTATATAACCTACGGTATTATCACTCACTATGTTTGAAGTTTTTCATTACAGCAATTTTCTTCATTGGGAACGATATTTTACTAGAAATTTGGAGACATTCTAACCTAAAAGCATAAAAAACGTGATTTTTGCTACATATTTGATCATCTATTACATCGCGAAAAATTAGTTTCCAAATCAAATTCCAAGAAATTAATTTTAAATGCATTACGAAGTCTCTTATTGATACCGCACTCAGCAACCCAATTGAGAATCACAAAATATTGATGGTAATAATGCTATAATTTCTGGATTTTGCAATTTTTAATTTTTCTTGTTGAGCCTTTTAATTGTTTTGAAATATGAAATTTAATAATTTATTTTAAAATTAAAAACTTTTTAAATACTTTTGAAATATTCAATTAAAAGTTTTTTCTTCTGGTTTCTGTTTTTCGCGTAGATTTAATTTTTCAAGATTTGGTACAGATAAAATTATCCTACGATTTTGTTAAAATATTTTTGTTTCTTTTCCAAGAATCATTTTTGAGATATAAGTTATGTCATTTTAAAAACTTAAAAATTAAAGTTATTAACTTTTGTAGAGAAATTACTTCGAGAAGGCAATGAAATCACAAAATATCAAACTTTAATTTTCAATATCCCCGTGCAAAAAAAATTTCTCATATTTAAAAAATATGTTTTTCGACCACTCAAGTATCATAATATTTTTGACTGATATTGGGAATAATATTATGTTTTGAATATAGGAAATATAGTGTAATAATTTTAGGTAGCACATTTAACCTTGAAACAGTGATTTCAAGCTTAAATTTTTTATTGAAATAAAATTGATAATAATTTTTTTCTAATTTGCTAAATTAAAAAGTAATATAGTCAGCACGTACTCTATCTAAACGAGTTTTCATAGGTCAAGTGGATGCTCGAAGCGCAAGTTCGATTCTCCGTAATATCAAATTTTATTTTTTAAATTTGTTTTCAATTATTTAATCGAAACCCAATGATAGGCCTTATATAAATTTTAAAAATTTATTTTAAAAAATGTTAAAAATATTGACTTTTTTTCTGTAACGTATGCAAGGGTTGTAATTTTTCAATAGAAGGTATGAAATGTATGGCATGTACGGAATTTTTTTAATGGAGGTAAAAATCTCAACCGTCCACTATAAAAATTATCTACATCTCATTAGCAGTCATATTCGCATCGAGCGTGTACTATGCAGTGTAAAGTGTAAAAGAAAGAAAAAGACGATACGAGGATTCTACAATGAGCGGCAACAAAATTGACTATAGATAATTATTTTTTATTGTTTATAGAGAATATTGTATATTGTTTATATTATTTTTTTAATAATTTTTGTCGTTTTTATTTGTGCAGATTTGAGCAAGCAAGGGTGGATAGCTTCATATCTCAATGAACATGCGCACACGTACAACCAGCAGATCTTGCTGCAACCGGCTTTAACTACGGGGCAGATTGATCGTGTGCGTTATTTTGATTGTAGTCTGGAAGTCTGTTGTTGAAAAGAAGGTGACGACCCTGTGACGGAACATCAGCGCTGGGCTGGCCGCTGCCTTTTCATTCACAATAGAAGTTGCGGCAATGTGCCGATCGGATTGAGCGCCGTACCAGTACGTCCTCGAAGAAGTAGGGATGATTGTGGTCGGTATAAGCTCAAGTATCGGGCAGCAACAACGTGGAAAGAGCAAGCGCGCAAAACAGTTAGTGTACTTACTGCTAACCCGCTTGCATGTACAAACATCTGGATTTGAATAAGTTTTTCAGGCATGCTAAACTATTTTTCCATGCTCAAATAAGGAGACCTTGAAGAAACATAGTTCCTTAAGAGTGACTGCTATACTAGGTGCCGAGTATGTAGTTCGAAAAGAATAATTACGATAAAACGCTCGATGTGAAGCATTTCAATACTAAGATGGCACCGATATACCTAACTACAGACATAGACGAGTGGTTCATTGAAAACATTTTAGAACCAATCAATAAGAGCACGGAAAAATTTCAAGAGCAAGACTCGGGCTGGTCTCTTCGCGTTATATTAAACTTAACCGTAAATATCAGCAAGTACAATGAGGACTGGTTTTTACGTTGAATTGCCCGAACCTATTAGAAGAAAGAGAGCATGTGTGAATGTGCAGAACAATGACAACGAATGTTTTAAATTGGCCATCTTTTCAGCGTTACATTCAATCGCAAAGAATGCATATCGTGTCACTGCATATCCCATTAACGACCGAAATGCTTAATTTATTGTCGATTTTCAACGCGTTTTTTTCGGTAGTCATAGGCCTAAGACATTTTTGTAAACACGTATTTGGATGGGAAATTTAACGCTCTTTCAGAATCTTTTTTCAAAATTGCGATTGATTGCGTTATAAAAAAGTTATAGCCAATTAAACAATAAAAACCTGAAAAATTTTGCGAAAAATCAAGTTTGCGATTTTTTTTAGAAATATTACCGCTAAAAAATCATCAAACAAATATAATCAGAGGTGATCACGACTATCAAAGTATTTCCAAGAATTTTGGTGGAATTTTTTAACCACTTCTTCCAACAAAATGGTGGCAAAATAAAAAAAAATTCATAAAAAACATTTCTCATTTTTTATCTCGGAAAACGTTAAGTTTAGATGAAAAGTTCATTGAACAAAAAAGTCTTAGAATTAAACGAGAAATACGCCTGAATTTTTTCAGAATTTTCCGAGGCGATTTTTGAATTTTCGGAGAATACGGAAAATCCATTTTTCCAAAATCATCTCCAAAAATTCTGAAAAAATTCATGCGTGTTCCTTGATAAATTCTAAGACTTTTTGTTCCATAAACTTTTCCTCTAAACTCAATAGTTTTCGAGATAAAAAGTGAGTTAGGTTATAATCCTAGCAGCGTTAATATTTTTGATACAGAATAAAGAACAGCCATTCAACAATAATATAATAATGTTTTCCCTTTTTATGTGTATACAAGTGCAGTTTGTATAGCGTATACTAATATACACATATCAAAAAAGCAATTCAGAAAATTGTATGTGAGCTCATTTTTATTACATACTAGTCTCTTGTTATTTTGAGACCATACAGTAAATCGAATCGAAAAGATTATTTTCGCTTTCTAAAGTCTAGGTTTGACAAGAAGCATTGAAAACTGTAGTAATTATTTTCATTAGGTATTTTTATTATTTTATATAACATGTCCAAAAACGTAAAAGACGTTCCACTCGCTCCCATGAAATGTACGAAATTGATACTTCAAAGAACACTTACGATGATATAGTTACCCTTCCAAATCCTGACAATTCTGGTTCTGATGGATCAGATTTCGATACTGATTCGGATGATGAAATTTCTAATATAATGTACACAGAAGCTTGTAAAACATATACTGAAACTCAAACTAAATTAGAAAGATGGAAGAGGACAGTGGATGGAAGGAGAAAAAAAGTATAATGATAATTTGAAAGACAAAATTTTATTGAAAGACTCGGTAAAAAATAAAATAGAAGAAATGGAGCCAGTAGAACTGTTTGAAACATTTTTCTCAACTGAAATGAAGTAATATATTATAGATGCTTGCAAAGAAAATAATTTTGATTTAAAGTTAAAAGATTTAAATACATTCGTGGGAATAATCATTTTGACTTAATTCAACAAAAGGAAATCTCAGAGGGATTACTGGTCACGTGATCCCTTTTTATCTTGTAACGTTGTTTCTTCTGCTATGTCACGTAATAAGTTTGAAGAGATCAAATCAAAATTAAAATATTCACAAACAAAAGATAAAAATCCAACTGACTATGCTCGGCGTGTCCGTTCACTATTAAACCTATTTAAAATTAATATTATGAAGTTCGGTGTGTGGAGAACTGCTCTTTCCATCGATGAAATGATGGCTAAGTCTTATGCGAGGACGGTTCTAAAACAATTCATTCGAGGAAAACCCATACGATTTGGTCTCCTGGGGTCCCAAATTCTGGGGTCTTTGTACTTCCGATGGTTTTGTGTTAGGTCTTGACTTATACTGCGGAAAAAATTCTACAACGGGAAGTAAATTTAGTAAGTGTGCATTAGGTTCTCGCGTTGTCATGAATTTACTAGAAAAGTTTTTTCGTGTTATACCTCCGGGCAAAATATCTATGTTCCATCTTTATTTTGATAATTATTTCACAAGCTTAGATCTCGCTGTGCATTTGAAGAAGCTTGGGCTAAAATGTACAGGTACTATTAGAGAAGATAGAGTCAAAGATAAAAA